CCAGGTAGGCTATATGTGTGTGTGATTATCATAAGACACATTCATTCCTTTGTTGATGACAGGTCAGACAGGCGAGCAGCTGGCCCATCCTTACCTTATCCTGCTTACACTTTACTAAGGGTTTTTACCTTCACAAATCCACGTTCTTCTTCTTGTCTTTTCTCCTGTTTTCCCCTTCTCCTCCCGATCAGATCCGGGAAAAAAAAAAAAAAATCCGAGTTATTCCAAACGGGACCGACCCTTCCTCATCCTCACTTCATGCCTCCAGCAGAGAGGTCAGACTTAACGCTGAAGTGAAATCTGTGAGGATCCTCTGTCATTGTCATCGCAGAGGATTAATCCAGCTGCAGCATTTACAAAAAAAAAAGTGAGATCCTGAAGTGTCCCAGCTCTTTGTAGCCTCTACTTCCTTACTACTAAACTTGCATCAACCCCCACACAACAACATGGCCGACCCTGCCTGCGGGACTGGAGAGGCACACAGCTGGGAGATCGGTCCGGTACAGCTGCTCCCAGATCAGCAGGGAGAGGAGGCGATCACACGGAGGAGAAGAGGCCGAATAAAGAACCATTAAAGACGGGATAATGTGAGGGACGAGAGGGCAGAGGAGCTGCAGAGTGGAGGATCAGGAAGGCTGGAAAAAGGGAGGACTCGCAGCGCCTCAATCTGTTCCATTCTCTGTCTCATGCACGGATCGATGGTGACCTCTGCTGGTGGACTGGTGTTACTGCAGCCACACATCTGCAGATCAGATTTATTGACCATGAGGAACTAAACATTTGTTTTATTACTTACTTTTTTTGATGAATTTTAGTCAGCCTGTTTTATGTTTATATTTAATGTATTTTTTCTTATTCTTTTTTATTTTATTGCTCAACTTTAATTGTATTCTTTATTTATTATGGTAGTATTTCTGAAATATGAACTTGAGACAATATTTGATGAATACAATATCCTGTTTGTTTGTACTTTTATTTTATTTTCCAATAGAACAAATGTAAAATGCACTATTGTCCAAACATGTGAACACACAAGGAATTGTCATCTTGTTTTAAATTAATCTTATTTGACTTACACATAAAACAATTTACAGTAAATAGATATAAACATACAGCCAAAAAAAAGACAACGAGTGGCCAAAATCTGATCAGCTCATTTTCAGACAGGTTGTTATATAGATAAGATGGATCAGGCCAAAAAGAGAGAGAATATTTTATCCTGAAACTTTCCAAATCTCTTGTAATGTATGTATAAAAGACATGAAAAAGTGGATTTTGCATAATTTTTGTTGCCATATCTACACTAGCTTCTGTGCATATGACTATAAAGCATTTGAATCCTTTGTGTCTTGTGGTTTTGGTGTAAAGTGTTCTGTTGCGCCTTCCACAGGTGAAAGCTGGAACAGGTTATGTTCAGGCTGTGATGGGTCTGCAGCGATGTTTCCAGCACTCTCCCTAAATTGGTCTAAATCACAATTCAGTGATGGACTGACAGACTGGATGATTGCAGCCTAAATTAAGACCAGCAGTTCCTCGTTTTCATGCAAAACTTACACTAATGCAAAAATAAGATGCTATAATAAAATAACCCTTTAGGAATATTACAATCATGGCCATAGATAGTGTGTACCAATGCTTTATACAGCTTCACTAGTCTATGTGCTTACCTTTAGTTTTTAAAAACATTATATTACTTTTATGTTGATTTGTCCTTAACCTCCCTCCTTACGATCATCGAAACAGCGCCACAAAAACACGTTATTATGTTGATATCGCTTAGTTATAGTTCAATTAAGAAGCAACATGAATCATAAAAAACCATTTTATTGAATGTTTACTGTGATATGTTAAAGAAATAAATCATCAAACATCAATGAAACTCGTTCATTTTGTTGTATTACTGTCAATTGCATCTTCTTGCATCGCTTTTACTGCAGCACTTCCGGACACACACATGTATTGTTGTTAAGGCTGAGTGATAAAATACTTGAATCATGAGACAGTAACCTCAATAAAACTCTTTCAACACAACATGTCAACACCGCCAGGCGCTATAACAAGCTATTGCGCCAACATTAGAATGAGTCATATGTTCTTATTTGGTGATATAAATCACACACACACACACACACACACACACACACACACACACACACACACACACACACACACACACACACACACACACACACACACACACACACACACACACACACACACACACACACACACACACACACACACACACACACACACACACACACAGCTGCTGTTTTCAGGCCCCTCTGTACAAACAGTAGCATTGATGAGTTACTGTAAGGAGCTCTTTTGACCTTATATGGACTTTATGTTACAGCTACTGGAATGTTTTTCAGTTTCATTAAATAACACAGTTTGGGCGAGTACACAATGACAGTAATATTCACCAGGAGATTACTGTAACACTGTCATGGTGGAAAGTTTATTACGATATATTTTGCTATGGTTGTTACAGGAAGGCACTCGTGGTGTGGTGAGTCAGGCATCAGGTTAGGACTGGATCAATATGTTTGCACTTGCAATGCAATTAGATGATGAGTAAGTGACATCCTTAATGCTTAAATATTGATAAAGGAGATTAAAATGATAAAAACTGGTTGAGAAATACCTATTTTACTCGGATTATACAAAGACAACCCTGACCATATTCTGATTATGTGTTTATACTATAAATGAATGTAATGCCAAACTCATTTAAAGTCCAGAAAACAAAAACGTGACATTCATGCCGGCCTTTTTTTAACGGTAATGTGCAGTTTTTGCCTTTATAGGGGAACATCGAAATGTTATTTATACTGTTTTAACCTTTTGAAAACCATCGCCCCATAGCCTAACCATTACGTTCCCAATATTCTTAACACATAGATAATTAAAGCTGTGATAAAGTGATTTTGCTCTATTTACCTTTCCTTTTTGAATTGACTCAGTAATGTTAAATGGAAATAGATCTTATATCGTGTATAAGACTGTATTCGAGGTCTGGACATTACAGTAAACACCTCCAAACACTCCGTTGCACTTTTCTCTGCTTACCACTTGGGTGCAGTGCTTTCTCAGAGAAAAGAAGATGTTCCGTTGCAGGACGCTTTTTCCTCACATTCCTTCCCCTCTTCATATTAAGGATTCAACGTGTTTCTCTATGCTAGGCAAACCGTCACATGACGTCAGAGCCAGACGAAGATCGACCGGTCTGAATCACCCACTAAAGATTCCACACATGATCCTGATACCTGTGTGTGCCAAGCTGTAATGAACAGTGACTAATACAGAGAGTCACGAGAGCCTGCAGTATGAAAAGGGCAATCGTATATAATGTAAAGCAACCAAACTGTAACATTTTTAAAGTACTTCTACTCCACTACATTTCAAAAGGTAATATTCTTATTTTACTTTCAGATTACAGTTTTTATTTTTCCATACACGTTTGCTGGGGCCCCTTGTCATGTTTCAGATGTATGTGACTTGTTGGTCTCATCAACATATCCCCTTTCAATTTCTCAATATGATACAGATGATTTTTTGGGGTTTCGTATGTCGATATTTGAGAAGCGGGAGAAGATGGATGGATGGATGGATATTTGAGAATGTGAGAGAGAGACAGTACATTTGTGGAAATAGAGTAGGGGCCAGCTGGGAATCGAACCAGGGTCTCTCATGTATGAACCCATGGTGGCACCATAACGGCTCAAAATATGTACAATTATTTATGTTTTCCAGGTAAGCAGTTGCAAAGAAATGTGGCCGCCTTTTGGTTTCCCCCCTAACTTCCATATCATCTCATGACCCCTCAGATTTGTCCTTTTGGAGAGACTTGACACCTATTGGGAAACACTGGACTAAAAACGATGTAACCCTACGTCAAATTATTAACAATCATTTACATTGTTGTGTTGGTACGTTATCTTGAATTAAAAGTTATTTTCTTCAACTGCATGGATTTTTGAATTGTTTGTTTTATTCATCATTTACCTGCGTGAAAAGTTGCATAACTGAGTCTGACAGAGGGGATATCCGTCAACAATAATAGTAAATATATAAATAGGCTAATTCGTCAGCTTTTCGTCACCGTCCAATAAAAATCCTGCATTTCCAAATTTGGTCCTTTTGAATTTGTCAGAACAACTTTGCATTATTATATCATAAAGCTAATACAAACATGTTTTGGAAGTACATGGTCTTCGCATGACTGTGATATTTATTTGATCCCTGGGGATAAATAAGGAATAGAGCCTGAGATAAGACATCCCCAGAATGAATCAGAAGCTCATTAATAAAAGTTCCTGGAACAAGATGACTCAGATTCAAGTATCTGGTTATCATGCTGATTCTGACCTCTGACCTTTACAAATACCAAGAACAATTATAAACAGACCGAGATCTCAAAGCAGCAAGTGTCATATTTCAGCACTGGACAGCTCCACAATGCAAAAGTTACAAATATAATATAAACAGCTTTTTCTATAAAGTCCAATACAAAAAAAGCATGACAAAATGTTGTGATTTTGAATATTAAAACTGTATTATGAATGTATTAACTGATAACCTCTGAACAATACTTTAGTCATTGTTTGTGAAACTGACTTTAACAGAAGTAGAGGTGAAACATGTGAAAAATTACCCAAAATGTATCTGTAATTGAAGTCAACTCTTTGATGCCTTGGATAGAAACTTTTTGAAGCTGTCAGTCATATTTCAGCACTGAACAGCTCCCCCCCCCCCCCCCCTACTGGCGTGACGTCAAAAATGTTGACATGAATTCCCTTTTTAATTAATGATAATGTTTGAATCCAGGATCCATTTATTTTGTATGACTTGGCTCGGGGTCTTTCATTGACGCCGGAGAAGGATGCACTCCAATGGGACGGGGGTTGGGGGGGGATGGGCGATGACGCATCCGCACACCTCCCCTCTCCATCTCCACCCCACCCAACCCCACCTACGTGACAAGTGAAAAAGGCATGGCTTTCCGATTCATGAATAAAAAACCAAGGGGGAGTTAAGTTCATAGGACGCAGGAAAGTTCTCCGCAGACAAATGTTTGGCGCTCTCCATGACCGAGTACACGTAGAAATTCCCGAGAACTGAGCTGCGGGCTGCACACTCGGAACAAGCACAAGACCGGAGAGGCGCTTCACTGGGGGAATAGAGGAAGAGGAGAGGAAGGGGGAGAAAGAGAGAGAGAGATCTTATCTCACTCTCCAACTTGAGGTTCAGCGGATCGCAACTGGTAAGAGGAGCCATTTTGTGGGCTTTTACGCAGCGTAAAAGCAGCGAGTGTGTGTGGAAAAAGTCAGGTGCGGCTGGATTTTTGCTTTTAAAACTATGGTTTTAAAGTAGCACTAACCTTAATGCATTCAATAATTGTTCCCATGAGTAGATGATTTTACACTTGTTTATTCACTTTATGTTTTTTCTTTTGCAGCAGGACAATGTCTAGTAAAGCGACTTTAGCCTTACTCATCTATGGAATCATAATGCATTACAGCGTCCACTGCTCACCTGTGGGGCTTAGCTTTCCAAGCGTTAGGTACGTACACCTCTATTTGTCTTTCAAGTGGCACTTTCCAGATGTTTATTACAATTTCTTGGCTTTGAAATGAGGTAATTGTTGCCCTGAGCAGCAGGGCGCTGGCTAAAGAGCTGTTAGTTATGGATGTGGCTATAATAGCCTTTTGGATTACTGGATAACATCATCTGACAGCCGATCCATAATGCGTGGAAACATTCACCAGGGAGCCTCGTTGATGTGATTTAGGCTGCTGAGGAAGTGAAGCAGTGTCTCAATTTGTCCTGAAGCATTAATCGACCAATTTATGGGATGAGATAATGAATAGAAAACGATTTTTTGGAGAAGAAAAAAGCTCCTGATTTTAAGAGGAAATGCCTTTTTGAATATAAAAATAGATGTTAATGGAAAGTGTGACATGTCTGGAGGATAATTAAAGAACATATGACGTAAAAAAAAGTCTGGGAAAAACACGTTTAACTATGAATGTTTATTACTGAAGTAGAATTTAATAACATTTCTCGTTTTTGCAGACTTGACAGTGAGGTGTATGATGAGGATGGGAACTCTTTACCGTCCCTGGATTACGACAGAGAGCAGATGGAGGTGAGGAGCCCTCCGTCTGCGGCGGACGACGTCTTCACTTTGTATTTCCCACCAGAGAAAAGGTGACTATTTATCCCCATTTTACACAAAAAGTATTTTTCTTTGTTTCATCCCAATGTTGAAGACATCCATGTTAAACGTCTCATTACCGTAGTCCTATTTCTGTCCACTTGTGTTGTGTTCTATGTGACTCAATGTAACGTATCGTCGAAATGTTGTCAGTAACACAATGATTATTATTTGTTTATCCCTTTGCCAAATTAGGGTTTTAACTAAAATTCCTAATTGGACTAAAATCGACCAGATTTATTTTCTTTTTTTTTGCAGAATTATTTTTTTTAAATGAAATATTTTACCCAAATTGCAGGTTCCTCCAAATGTCAATGCAACTTAATCCGGATGAAGAGATAACCTTAAAAAGTAAAATAATATAAACCATACTGATGAGCTCAAGGCCCACTATTCAATTATTATAATAATAGTGTTAAGATTAGATGTTCTTACAGTACAGCTACTTGAAATTGTTGCCTCTCTCGCTGGGTGTGTGGTGATTTTACTGTGTGGCTATCTATCATCCAGAACGGAAAGGCATGCAGACGGCATGTTTAATAAAGCCTACAGGAAAGCGCTGGGTCAGTTATCAGCCAGGAAATATCTGCATTCTCTGATGGCAAAACGTGTAGGGTAAGAACATTTTTGTCACCTCTTTTTTTATACTGTTTCCTGTCTTGTGTGCGTTTTTTTGGTTTTCTTTGGATTGCCCCTTTAAATCCACGCTGTTACACGTACTGTATATGTCTGTGGTCCCATTATTTTCCAGCATGCAGCTAAATAATCCTCTGAATCAGACTTAGTAATGCAATAAGAGCTCAAACAGGCTGATTTAGAAAGTGTCGTTTTCTGCTGTGTTGTAAAGGCACAAGAATGAACCCGCACAGGTTTACATTTATTTCCATATGAATCATTTATAGTCCCAGTGGTTCCCGATGGAAGAGGGAGGAGGGTGGGGGGGGCAATCACTCAAGCCTTATGAGCAGGCCTATCACATCTTATTGCAGGTCGAATATATATTGTGCTGGGACAGTTAAACAAAGTGAGGATATTTCTGATGCTTTGTTGGATGCAAATATTCAAAATGCAAGCACATACATGATACATCCCTTTGTGTCCTCCAAAATCTGATTATTCCTGTAAAAGAAGGACACAGATTGTTTTTTTGCACATCTCCACAAGCTGACAAAATCAGATTATTTCATTATTTGCCCTCTAAAATGGTGACACACGCTCTTCACCTCGGCTCCACATGCAGTGTAGGGGTCGTGGGAGTATGATCAACGTGATGATAGTGAAACCTCTTGTCTCTCACACAGCGGGGGGAAAACGCTGGACGACAGCTCAGAGCCTCTGTCCAAGCGACACTCAGACGGGATCTTCACAGACAGCTACAGCCGCTACCGGAAGCAAATGGCAGTCAAGAAATACCTGGCAGCAGTCCTGGGGAAAAGGTATAGACAGAGAGTTAGAAACAAAGGACGTCGGTCGGTTTATTTGTAGCATCCTCACTCTCCCCTCCTGAAAAAAACAAAGAAAAAACTTAAGTGTGCAGCCCCACATGAAGTCATTTTGAGATCTGAACAATCAGTGGATCGCTTTTGTGTTCTTAAACATGTATTTATGTATGAAGTAAGCCATTAAAATGAATATTTTGATAATATATTGTTTTCTATTATGTACTTACAGCACTAAGGACACACATTACTACTTTGTGGACCAATTTTTTGTTCATTCTAAAACAAAAAAAAGAATAGCCTCTATTTATGTATTCATTGATTTAGTTTTTTTAGACCTAATTTTGAGGGGAGACAATTGTTCCCGTGACCATGTGCTCCGAACAGCCCCTGTCTTTTAAACGTTTAGTGAAGAGATATATGATTGTGAGGAAAATAAATAGTTTAAAAGACAATCAATGTATTGAATGCTGCTTTATGTAAAGTGACATTAAGAGTTTAGTTGTCTTTATTCACAACAGCCTTGAAGACATAGGTTTTCACCCAATCCTACAAGACATAGACTTTGATGCCCTCCCGGACGGGGATGAGTTTGAGGCTTTTTTGGGAGACTGGCTGAAACAGTTCTCTCCCGAATTTCCGGTGAGTTTCAGGCTCTTTCCCCGAGGCCGTAATCCTTGCAGGGGCTTCTCATGTCTCTTCCTTTTTCACCTTTAACCCCTCAAACATTCTTCCGCCTCATTTGTGCTCCTGTCTCTCTAGAGTCTCACAGCTGTGTAACCCTTAACCATCCCACAATGTGGAGGGACTTTGCTTAGACTGATTGATCAAAAGTTACAGATGTATGGAACAAAGATGATGATTCTTTTAGTAGACCTGGGTTAAACCAGATGTGAGCCCTGCTGGCACTTTACACTTTTAAGATTTCCCTTTTCTCAATTCAAAATGGGATAATTTCAAATCTGAGATGAGGACCAGAGTACTTTTGAGGTTTTTCTTTCTTCCGCACTATTTACAGAGTGAGATCACACCTTTGACTCATGTACATTGCCAATCCTGTGTTTCTATCAACTGGTTTCTGCTGAAGATTCTCTCTCTGTCCATATAATAAGTATCACTAAATCAGGCACATTTAAAAAAAAGCATTACAAAAAAGAAGAAATGATACTTGTTACATGGTCACTCATTCATCGATTTGCTCTTGAGAGACATACAAGGCAGTTTGAACTTTCTGGGTCTATTGTGCTTCCTTTTCTGTCATGTGAACCAATGTAAAAAAGAAAAAGAAAAAAAAGAAACAGTAGATTGCATGATTAAAGTAATTGCACTAGCCACTGCATCTGTGCAGCCGACTCCAACTAGATGGTTTTGCTTGCTTTCTGACTACTGCAAACATACATACCTGTCATTTCTCGATGTCGTTTTGTGTTCTGTTCTCACATTTGTACACTGTATGTCGAACTTGAAGAATTATCTGAATGTACTTACTGCTGGCAAGAATCACTCAGTCAAATGTCATTCTGTTACTAAACCAACTGATTTTGTTTGAAATTGTAATATACAATTTGAAGTGGTCTTTTTCTGTAGAACGCCACAAAGGCTGCCGTGATCGACACAATTCGATTCAAAGAAAAGGAGAAAGACATCGAGGAAATAAAGAAAGCAACGATCAAGAACATGCTTATTTTGAAAAGTTGAGGGAGAACAGTTTGTAAAATCTGCAGGATAAGACTCACACATCCCCCCCGTCTTTATACTTCTTACCATATTTGTGAGGAAGGGCAGGGTAAAGTTATTAGATCTGTGTTTACTGTATCAATCTTTCTTTAATTTTGCATTCTCCTCTAGGCTTTGTGACGCAGGAAGCAGTTTGCGGCTGTGGTGCCTTGCATCGACTTTAAAATCGCCATTGAATCACAGATGGCTATTTAGTGGCCCTACAATGCTGCACATCATCAGCTTGCATTTCACTCTTTTGTTGTTGTTTTTGTGTTGCACAGACGTTTGATAGAATCTTTAGAAGCCTCCAGCTTTAGACAACAAGCGTCCTCGCTTGCACTGCTTTCTTTTGCACTAGACGTAGATTTTTGTGAACATAAAGGGAAGAATCAGTTTCCCGCTCTCCATGAAACGTTATATGTATGATAATGAAAGCGCCAATAGCCTTACAAAAATGAAATAATCTTCAAAGATATATATATATATTTATTGTGTAGAAAGTGAATATTAGATTACTACTTCAAATGGCGATCTGCAAGGGTCAATAAATGTCTAAAAAAATAAAGTGTTGTAAGATTTGTATGAATAAATTTTTGTAAACAACAAAAAATCTGTCTAATTTTTGAAGCCAATATCACCATCAGTCTGTAAGGTTGGACACATTTGGGAGGTTGAAAATGAGTAATAAAACCCAAACGTATTATATTACAATTATGAACATAGACCCTGCCTCAACAGGTCTGACAGGAAGTTCATAAGAAAGGAAAGATGAACAAAACCAGCTTGTGGAAGTCACAGACGGGGAAAAAAATCAAAAAGACCACATACCATTAGACAAAGCACATACATGCTCACACACACTTAATTCATGCTGAAATACCCAAAATAAAAAAGTGTCAATCACTTTTTGGTCCTCTTCAGTGTGGGTGTTGAATGTTGTGGCTATGTGGATGATCAATAACTACAAGATGTTGCCAAATAAATAAGCAACAATGGAAAAAGTGGTGAAAAGAAGACCAAAAGATCCAACATTTCTGCCCGAATCTCACGGTGACTCAGTGGCTTTTGGCGGAGGAACGGTGCGACCAGTTGGCTGCGTCGGGACAGCATGAGTAAGGAGACGTGGGAAGGATCACCCGGCTCGCTCCACACTCTGCCTCGCTGCACTTTACACCTCTCCGGGACTTCAGCAGTCGCCACCAAAGGCCTGCAGTACTGGTGGAACAGTTGGCCGCTCTCAACACTGGTACATTCACTTTGATGCCAAAAACAACAATGTTCACGAGCTCAAACATGCAGAGACATTAGGGGAATGGATCCCCATGTAATGCCATATATACCTTTTTATGTGCAGTACATAAAATGATCTAGGGTTGCAGCTACTATGGGAAAAGACATCTCTCCACATCACAACCCATCACAAAATACATCTAATGAAGTTTAATTCACTCATGGTTATACAAGAGTTATATCAGATTTCATTTGAAGGTTTTAAGAGGAGCTGTGCAGGCTGTGGAGCAGTGGATGGACCAATTAGTCAATTTATAGATGACTAGATAGAGAAAAAGGTGTTATGATAAAAGATCATAAATAATCAATTAAGAAGCAAAACATCCTCAATTTTTCTTGAATGAATATAGTTTTTAGTAAAGTTTAATATCTTTGAATTTGGGTTCACATTTCCGGGATTAAGATTTTTACATTTTGTTGACCCTTTATTGACATAATTGGTAAATACATTGAAAAATATCTCAACATTTAAGCGATATTAAGAAATAATTGCTAGATGCAGTCCTACATGATGTTCATACATAAAATACAGCAACAGTAGAAGACAGTGACATAAGAACTGCACCCTTTGTCTTCTATGTTTGCACCTCAGTACACCGGAGGGCAGGTCTAATGAAGTCTGAGTGCCTTCCTAAAGCAAGAAGAGGCTTCTTGCACATTGTGGCTTTAGCCTTCAAAGGATTTCCCTTTACAATCCCTGAGGTGCAGGAGAACACCTAATGAGATGCAAATTAATTTTTAAAAAAGTGGCAAACATGAGCTCAGAGAGACCAGGTCTGACATAAACTTAGGTTATCTGCTCATAGAGAGCATCAGCCTCAGAACAAACATTAAAGCTTATATTGATTTTCAACCTTAGGCAGGAGCAGAATGGTAAATACGCACATTAAGGGGAAAATGCTATAATCGCTGTTATTTAATAATGAAACATGATGTGGGTCTCCCTCCTGTTGAGACCCAAGGGGAGTCCCACCGTGGGTGCAGCAGGTGGCATTTGCACTTGTGTCAATCCAAATTACATCCAATTACCTCAAATATACCCCTCCTATCTGATATTATCTGATAATAAGTCACCACAGAGGATTGCAGGCGTGTCTGCACCTCCCTGCTCTCAGGACATGCCCTGAAATATCTTTAAAGGGCTTCAATTACATCCTCACTTTGAGTGTGAGCAGTTGCAGCATCACACTGCGTTGTGCGGTCGTCTATATATGGGATGTCAGACTCAGCCATCACAAAGTCTGCCGTGTCTCCCCCCCGCTCCCCTGCGTGCGTAATAGCCCCCTCTCAGACGTGATGACAGACAGGGCTTTGATTTTGTGGCCCTGGTCTCAGCTCTCAGAGGAGTGTAGGGAGAACATGATCAATGGGAGTGATCTGATTCCTCCGGCCCGTGCCAGACCCTTTCTTAACCCGGATAACACAATCAGCCAGTGTTGCCTGGCAACCGGTCCCAGGAGGATGCGTTAGGAGCGGACGGGGCGGCGTGGCCTTCCCGGGCACCCAAAGATCACCCTGGATATATTTCACTCAAATTGCTTCAGTCTGAGCTATGTTGTCTTTTACTGGCTAGGCTGATATTTATGCTCAGGAAAACAGAGGTTGAGTAATAGGTAGTGATTCATGAAAGTGCACAGACATAACGAAAGAACACAGACACAAACACTTGAGGCAATGTTTTCACAAAATTACTCACACAGCACAGCGAGAGCCAAGAAATGTGTGACTGACTAAGAAGTGCTAAAGGCAAAAAGTATTCTACGATTATGGAAGAAACATTCATTGTACATATGAGCAAGACATTGAAACTGGATAAAAAAAATGTAAAGGAAGACTTTGACAAATGAGATTACGAAATGAAGTTTGGCAAACTGCAGTGCATTATAAGTAACCCAAAGATGTAGTCATAACAGACAAACATTTGAAAATGAAATGCTAAAAATTCACTCTTAATAGTTGCGGTTCTGGTTCAGTATCAAGGGACAACCAAACGTTTTAAAAATGGCCAGCCACAGCTGTTGTAGTTGCGCCACTAAAATCGCTGTATGGTTCCATCCGGTTACAATTGTCAACAAACGCCCTATAGCAAGATTTTGAGGGCCAAAGAAGTCAAAGTATCCAGTGTTTACAAGAAAAAGCTACAACAATATTAGTCTGCAGCCATGCTAGAAGCTCTGTGTGGCTGTACATAGCCACATGTGCTTTAAGCTAAATGCTAACATCAGCATGCTAACGTGCTTACAGTAGCATTGCTAACATTCTGATGTTTAGCAGCTTTAAGTTTACCATGAACTATCTTAGTTTAGCCTAGATAAGCAAAGATAAAATAATAAATTATACTAGGAAGATGATATAAAGTGTATGGTGTCATTTTTCACACTGTTTCTATTTCAGTCAAATCTTACTTTGATGTTGCCGAACAGCCTGAAATACTCAGACTGCCTTTCTTACACGATCGACTCGTACTCAACTCCACAATACAAACCCGGAGCTTCAACCCAGGATCCCCCTGCTCCTCTGGGGGCCGTGTGAGTGACAGCTTTCTGGAGGGGGAATCCACATGAAACTCTTTCATCAGTGCCGCCTCCTGGGCCCAGCTTGACTGACTGCAGCACGGTGCAAAAGTTCAGCCATTATGAAAAGCTTTTGCTGTGGTGAAGTGTGTCATTGTTTTAATGTCAGATCTCTAGCTAAGGATCATTTTTCATGAGAGTGGACAGAATCTGACTTTCGGTCCTTCATCCTCAACCCGTCGATGGTCTTTTTGTTTTCATGTGTGTAAACAGAATCTGAGGTATTGGGTTTGAGGTTTCAAGAAATATATTTTTGTATTGGGATTGTATAATTCATACTCATAAGAGAACAATTAGAACAATCCTACTCATGTTAAGGTGAGTCTGTGAAACAATATTCGCTAAATTAATCATAATTTGCATGATTGCTAAACATGTCTCAACAATTGATTCTTAGCAACTCAATAAAGTATGACTATTACACTTTAGAAAGTACACCATTACTCCCTCTTCCACCGAATGAATAGCAATAAACCAACTTACAGTGAGGAAAAGAAGGCAGGACCCAAATGCAAGACAAAACAGGGGAGGCAGGTATTGGAGTACAACAAAAGGCAAGCTTTAATTTATAAAAAGCTGAAGACTAGGGAGCTGAGACACAGGGGCAGCAGGTGAAACCAATAAGACAATCAAGCAAGCACATGAGGCAAAACACAAGGAGAACGGAATTTCAAAATAAAACAGGAAACTTTAAACACACAATACTGAAATCATGAAACTTACTTAGAATTTTTGAGAAACATGTTATCTTATTAGTGGTAATATTAAACTAAACCTATTGTATTAGCCTTTCTTTAATTTTTTTCTGTATTCATCTTTATATATACAGTCTATGGTATTCATGCCATTCAAAAACTAAGGAATTTAGCAAAACACATGCATTACATTCAATTAAATCAATCAATCAATCAATCAATGTTTATTTATATAGCCCAATATCACAAATGTTACATTTGTCTCAGTGGTCTTCACAGTTTGTACAAAATATCAGTATGACAATACGACACCCTCTGTCCTTAGACCCTCACATCGTACAAGGAAAAACTTCCGGAGAAAACCCACAGTTTAAAGTGAAAAATGGGAGAAACCTCAGGGAGAGCAACAGAGGAGGGATCCCTCTCCCAGGACGGACAGACGTGCAATAGATGCCGTGTGTAAATTGAAAAGATAATACATTTGCAACATAGGTAGTCCAAATGTTTGGAAATGCATGTGTGTATAATAGGAAGATGAATCCACGAGGATATCCATCCAGGACCTATGATCCAGGACCACAGCCACGACTCAAGATCCAGGGCTCGCGATGCAGGACACAGGACCGCAGGATCATCCATGACTCCGGATCCCGGCGTATATAGACACCAAAAAGAAAGACATTTGGGGAAGCTGGGTTAATCGGAACATGAGAGTACACAGGTATAGACAGAGAGAAGGAAGAAGTAAGATGTCCCCCAACAAACTAAGCCTATATCAGCAAAACTAGGGGCTGAATCTAATCAGCCCTAACTATAAGCTTTATCAAAAAGGAAGGTCTTAAGCGCACTCTTAAAAACGGATAGGGTGTCTGCCGCCCGAACACAAACTTTGAAGGTTTGAGCCCAAAAACACAAAGATATACAGTTTAACATAAAATAAAAGTCAGTATATCCCCCTATTTCTCCACTTATAATTTATGCATATATGATTACATTAGCCATATTTTTCTGTCTATTGACTAATCAGTTAGGGGACTAATCATTGCAGCTCT